CTGTCTGTCTCTCTGTTCTAGTTTACTGATTTAATTCCACTTCCATTTCCTTCTACATTTTTTTGTGTCTGCCTCTCTGTCTGTTCTAGTTTACTTAACTCCATTTTCCTTTCCATGAGTCAGACACAGTCATCGCACCTGCACCTACCGAGCTGAATCATACACCGACTGACGACTTCGACACCTCGCACCACCGACGCAGCGCTACGTACCTTCCGAAGGTCCCGCGGCCGTGACTGCAATTATCTCGGGCTCGACGGCGGGCGGGATGGTCGTGGTGGTGCTGCTCCGCCCACACCCGCGCGTGCCTGTTCGGGGCGACGTGGCTTGCGTCAGGAGGGCCTCTGATTACTTCAGGTTCGAACGATGTGGATGTGGATGGTCGACAGGACGTGGGTAATCAACAGGTAACATTGGACGTGGGTAATTAACAGGTAACATTGGACGTGGGTAATTAACAGGTGACATTGGACGTGGGTAATTAACAGGTAACATTGGACGTGGGTAATTAACAGGTGACATTGACAACACGTGGGTAATTAACAGGTGACATTGGACGTGGGTAATTAACAGCTGACATTGGACGTGGGTAATCAGCAGGTAATAACAGACGTGGATAATAAACAGGTAATATCGGACGTGGATAATCAACAGGTAATAACAGACGTGAATGATCCATATGGCAATAATGGATGTGGATGGCCACCAGGTAACTTTAGACGTAGACCAACAATTAACAGGTACGGGGACACAGATCACAATCTCGTCGGATAACACGGTTTCCAAACAGCACAAAAGACGATTGAAACACGGTTTACGAACAAGACGAAAGACTAGACCGATAAATGGTACACAATGAACACAACAGACAGGACACAGACCACACATCTTACGAGACGAAGGTTTACAGACAGCACACACGTTAAGAAAAAGGACACACAACAGTTAACAGAGGCTTTTCATTTTTCAAAAACACATTTTTAACAAACGAGACGGTACAGGGAAACACAGCGATAAAACACAGTGGAAATGCCATACACGGACATGTAAGTTTTAGGACACCACTTGACACAGAAGGTACAAATGCAAATTAAACAGATGTAGAGTAAGAAAACTGACATATTTATGGTGGGATGTCACCATCTCATATGTGTTGGTGAACAAGAGCAATGAGTGTGGGAGACGGTAGATAAATGCAACACTAATTAATACATAGGGAGATGTGAACGTGAATTAACTAAATATAGTTAAATCAATACATGGAAACACAATACATAAGAATTTAGTAATGTGTATATATGATATGAGTGTGTGGATATGCATACGTTAATTGATAATTAATAAGTGACATATTCGAATGATGCTACAGAAAAAAATATATATATATATTTTACAAAATAGTGATATCCTGGAAGGAACATGCAAAATGCATATAATCTATAAAATTCTTGGAATATGAGATATACGTATAATGTCAAATCTATTTTTGCGTGATTTTTTTTTTTTTTTTTTTTTGGGGGGGGGGGGTATTTTAGTAATTTGTTATTTGTTTTTTTTTTCATTTATATTGAGTTAATTAGCTTTTAGATTTAAAAAAAAAATGATCACCCAATTTCAGAAACTATAGTTTTGTATTTTCCAAGATCCAATTGACCTAATTAAAATATCCTCAGTTTAGGCAGTCATATGAACCACCTCCCTTTCCAAAAAATAAAATAATAATAATAAATAAATAAATAATATTGACAAGGCATTTAAATGGCTCTGTGTAATAACATATACCAAACTTTTACTTAAATTTGATTCGTCATCGGTCCCTCCTCCTCCACCTACTCTGACCTTGCTTCATAACACATGTGACCTAAAACATGAATATAATAATACCTTGATAAGTAGGTTTACGATTAGGAAATTATTACACTTTTTGATAGCTGTCTATAGATTTTATATGTTTATAGCAATTGCAGGAAACTTCCCTTGCTTCTTTCGTAGTAACATATATCTGCATGTTGTTGCAATTGCAGAGGAAGTAGATCATGCATAAAATAGGTATATTGAAATATGAAATAATAGTTCTAATGATCTACAGTTATTTGAAGGGTTGTTTCACATTTCAGGAAGCCTACTATAAAGCATACTGATTTTTTTCTCATTCTTTAGTTTGTTATTACAATTTGAGATTTGACCCTGATTTGACCCTGAGAAATTAATCTTTACTCATGGCTATCACAGAGTATTTTTGTCACAGGTAACCAATCGACATTATCGTGCATCCATATTACTTTGTCGTACCTGATTGAATTTCTATCAATTCATCAAAACTTTACCCATCAAACTATTTCCTAATTTACTGGAAGACAATTTCAAACACCAGCTGGTCATACCTACTGGAGTTTACCGGACAGCATACCTCGATAAATATTAATGCCTCCTTGGGATACAACATTACGTTACTGCCAACACTGAGAAGCCGCATACTCACCTGCCACGGCGCATAGCA